TGGGGTCTGCTCCCAGCCAGGGGGCGGGGACTGGAGGAGGAGGGGGGGGGGGGCGGCGGGGAACTTTTGCGGTCTCTCGCAGGTCACGTGTTATGGTACGTTTACACCTGAAAAGAAATCCGCTGCCGCGGGAGCGGATCCGCTCCCGGCGGCGGCGGTGACGAGCTGGTTGTGTTTACATCTATTTCCTTCGAGCAGTGGCGGCAGCGCCGGCTGCGGCAGCGGTTCCCGTAACGTCTCGTCAAATATGACGAGAAGGCGCGAGAGTTCCCGCCTCGGCTCTCTCTCTCCCGGGCGTTGCTGCTCCCGGAAGAACGCGTACTCGTGACGTAGGCAGCGTCGCGCTGCGCAAGGATGTCACATCCGGTCAGCGAAACGCCTCTTTCGGCGGCAGAAATAGATCCCGGACCTATTCGGCTCGCCGCCGCGTTTTCCGCCCAGCGTTTCGCCCCAGCGGCAAAAGCTGGGCGGATCCGCTGGCGGATCCGCAAGTGTAAACGTACCATTAGGGACAGGCGCATCTGCTACGCAGGCGCTGCGAGCGGGCGTTCTCCGCGCGCGCGCGCGCCTCGCTTTGTCTATTGCAGTCGGCGGCAGCGTTCCGAGAGTTTAGGTTCTTCTTCCCTCTCGTCGGACTGTCGGTCGGCGCTCTCCAGCACCACATGGACTGAATAAGCCGTCTCCGCTTCACTCATGACGTCACGCCATATGTCCGTCTGTGCCGGACTCTTGCCGTTCGGCAATGGCTCAATGGCTGCGATGGTGACAGCGGCTTGTGCTTCGTCCAATTTGTTTCTGTTTTAGACTGCTTTGTACCGTATCAGGAATGATCCGTGTGTGGTGGTTATGCTGTTGTGTGTGAGAAGCAAGCCTCTGGATATTTGCATAACGAGAAGTTGGTGATCAGAATTCAAGATGAGTTGGAAATTTGCCCATCGTTAGGCCTCACTGCGCTTTGGTGTTTTACTGGATCTAGGTTTGTCATTTGCCTTGCTCATATTTTAATCTGGCGTAATTTTGTGATTCACAACATGCCTACGCGCTGTGACGGGCCTTTTCGTGCGTAGGTAACCTTTGACGACTTTAAAGCGGCTCGATCGGTAGGCCGCAACCTTGTAAACACTTCGTACTTGGGAGGTTCAAACTTATCACTAAATTAACGGAACTGTCGTTCTAATCGATCGGTTACCTACGGTTTTTCACGTCGATGACTAGCTAAATTTGATTGGAACTTTCGGCATTATCTTGGTGACGCTGATGAATAATAATAATTGGCGTTGTGTGGATGTTTATACAGCGTGTAATAGGTCAGCGACGAGTCATTCGCTGTAGATGAGCAATTTAGCCAGTGCAGTACAACCGCTAGCTTGGGGTCCTTAACGTGCATCGCGCGGTAGTGATACACGACCGCACGCCGGTACGATGCTAATCCAGATCGAAACGAGCAGGGTGGGGATTGAACCCAGTATCCCTGACGTTGATGAACGTTGCAGGTAGATGTGTTGTGCAACAGGCGGTTGCCTGCAACAGGTAGTTGCCTTATTTTAATCCATTTTCATCGAGTTTTCAATCTTATTGCGTTCAAGGGAAGAAAAACAAACTCCAGCCATGCTATGAAATGTAAGTGTGTTGAATTTATTACCAAAATAAAAAAGCAAAGGTACTGAGCATGTTTTCTTTTTTCAGCAGTCGAATTTCTGCCTTCAACGTTTTTACATTGTTCTGCGTTCTAGGGGAAGGCTTGTGTTTGTGCTTGCTGTCCTAGTTCTTGGCCAGGGCTTTTGTTTTTCGTGACTCCTGAACTTGCTGCGCCTTCTGCTGAATCCCATCGTTGATCGTGCCACAGTTGTTCCTCAACAGTGTAGTTGCTGCGCTCACCATATGCTTCATGAGAAGTAAAACGCTGTGGCTCATCGAGCAGGGGCTGATGTCGAGGGCTTCTTTGAGCAGTGATAACGCAATAGACACTATCAAGGACCGCCGCTTTCCGCCTTTCAAAAATGCACCAGCATTCTCAGGAGCCGACAGTTTCTCAACCACTAGTTTAGTGACGAGGACCATTGTTACAGTGCATGGCTGCGGAAACTTGAGACCCCCCTCTTGTTAAGTGGGAGACCAGGCAAAGGTCCTCCACCTCCAACATTCTCCCATCCGTCACAAGTAGTTCAGCACAGGCTTCGCAGCGCATGCACTTGAGTGCAGCATGTGCACTGTAACCAGCAACATACGTAATGACCGGCATGTCGCACTGCGAACTCTTTAAGCCGTCTTCGGGTCTGTTATCGGTTGGGGGATTATGTCAGCGCCTAACAAAATGTCGCGATTATGCAGGAAAATCAATGACCGCCAACCAATAACAGACCTGTACAATACTAAACATAAAAAGGGATACACTGATTGCACAACCGGCGTCGTTTACGAAATTCCAGTGACGTGTGGTTTATGCAATTTAGGGAAAACTGGAAGATGTGTCAATGATCGGGTTCGCGAGCACGCCACTTCAACTAGAACGACACCGTCAGGGCATTTGACTGTACATTGCAGCAGACGCTCTTGCGCCCCGTCATTTGACAACTCTAACATTTTGGTTAAGTACAAAAACAAAGTGTCACGCGAGCTTCATGAGGCATTTGAGATTAGGAGTAGGGGTGAAAAATGCATTAGTGATACTTCTCGGACTCTATCTACGGATGAGTTTCAATATTTGAAACGTGGGCTGGGCGGGTATTAACTCGACGTGTTATATCTGATGGTGTGCTCCCATTGCTTGGTTTTATTTCTAATATATTCAGTTGAGAGTGCGCCCTGTATCTTTGTAATTCTACACTTTGTTCCCATTCCTTCGGCGCTTATTTTCCATAAGCATGTGCGCCATGCTAGCAGCAAGAGGAGCTATTGGCTGTGGGTGCTGCGTAGTTCCGATATTTGTGGCTGCCAACATTTGATCATCCGACTTGCTTTTCTGCCGAATGAAGGTTATTTACCTCGGGCGGAGCTCTGTATATGCAGACCTCACAATATTCGTTCAGTTGAATGCACAACACAGCCTTTGAAAACTTGCCCTTGGGCAGTACTGGTTCATACATTTCGATTCAACGCTATTACGGTTGTCTGTATTGAATAATCTGTTCATGCATCCTTGGATTGAAGGACTAAAATTGTTCTTGTATGTTTCAAAATTGTCCAAGGATGCAAAGTCAGCTTACTCAATACAGGTAATCATAAACAAATTAAGTCAAAATGTCTGAACTAGAATCAGCAGTGCTGGCGAGGTGCAAGTTTCCGAAGGGTCTGCTGTGAATTAAGCTGACTGAATATAGTGAAGTCAGCATAGAGCATGCCACCGGAGGCATGTCTGTTTGTACACCAGCAGCAGAACAGTCTGGATAACTGGGTGTGGATAGGCCGTAATCTTGCAATAAGTCAGAACCTGGTGTCAGTGGCCCTTGCTGGCAACGTGACGCGGGTGTGTAGCCCGAGGCCGTTCACTCCTGTGGCTTTTGTTGGCTTTATCCAGCACTGTACATAAAGCTATGCATGCTCCTTTATACGAGAGGCGTTCAAAAAGCATTCGACCCGAATTCGTTCCGTGGAAACAAATTATGCACGGACAGCACCTTCTGATGGGGCCAGTGCAGGGAACATTAATGCGCATGCGTGCATCTTATTAGGCCCACAGAAAATGTGAGTCGCTGGTAGTCATCCTTTGAGTGAGGAAGTTTAGTCAGTGCTTGTCGTTTTTTCCCGTAACTCAAATAAGATTCCTTTCAGCGGCATTTTTATCTTGGGGGAGAGCCAGAAATCGCAAGGAGCCATGTGGGGAGAGTAGGAAACCTGCATCCGGCCAAGAAACTCTGAATCACATGCGAGGAATGAGCTGGTGCGTTGTCATGATGCAACTTCATTTGTGAGCAACTTTGGCACGAGTTTTGCAGACATACTCCACAAAGCTAAATCTTCCTTCAAAATTGAATGCATCGAACTTGTTCCCACCTGAGCTGCAAGTTCTTGAATGGTGCTGCAACGATCCTGCATGACCAAAGTCCACACTTGGTCGCCTCGTTATTTCGGCTTGAAGGCCTTCTAGAACATGCGTTGCTCTCCATCGACGTGCGACAACCTCTGATCCAGTTATACCATTCCCTAATTTGTGTAATGCCCATGGTATCGTCGCCAAAAATCCTGCTTAATCCTTCTAATTGTTTCCACTGGAGTGTCACCAAGCTTGAACCAAACAGTTCCCTCATTTTGCGGGAAGAAAAAAGCGACGAGCACTGACTACACTTCCTCAGTCAGGGGCTGACTGCCAGCGACTCACATTCTCTGCGGGCTTGATAAGATTCATGCAGGCGCACAAATGTTTCCTCCACCTCCCCACCACTGGACGCTGTCTGCGCTTTATTTGTTTCTGCGGAAGAAATTCAGGTCTGATACTTTTTGAACGCCCCTTGTCTTCATAATTTCGGGAATTCGTTGTGAGAATTCATTTTGAAGTGTGTCTCTCCTAGTCTTTAAAACAAACCAGCAGGATTGTACCCGGCATTATGGCTAACAGGTCCTTTTATGACGGTTCAATTAAAGAAATTATTTCTGAATAATGTTGCCAACTGCAGCAGGCACGAGGGCACGAGTGTAAATTGAGAGAGAACTACTTCATTCGTTGAATTGATTAATAAATTGTTTCACTGATTTTAGTTGCCATATATCAATCACTGTTTTTACCAAAATAACTACCCTATAGTTATGTTACTAATTATCACCTTATGATCATGCTCTGACGTCTGCTACTGTTTGTAATGTTATCCCGAATGAATAATTTTTTTTTCTAGTTCAAGGGTTTCATGTTTTTACTTCTCCGGTATTGGAACTCCCTATATATGTCTGGACACAATAGTGCTTCATGACGATGCTCTAGTAGATGGCAGTTGTAAGCATGACCACATATTGAATAAATTATGCTTTGGACATAATCAGTTCTGTACTTTCAATTTGCTGTTCAGACAACCAGGCAGTGGCAGCCCTCCAGGTCCTCCGCTGGAATGTGAAGGAGCCTGGTGCCTTCAAGCACATCTTTGTTAACAAAGATGTAAGTCTGGCTAAACTTCCTTACTGCGCTATGCTTTTTGAACGTAGAAGAACACAGAGGGCGATTTGTTTACTTGCGAATGGAATTAAAAAAGCTCGGCTCACTGTGAAGTAGATGGTGCCTTCGCTGCACTTTCTTAGTGTGGCGGATAGCCGTCAGAGACTGTTGAGTAATTAACTAAGAATGTGTCCATTAACTTTTTTATTACTGCCTTTACGGTATATGCTGTAATTGCACTCGGAGTTTCACTAAAAATCCTTTTTCTTGCAAATCGCGAGTGTTCGCAGATCTGGAGCTTCGAGCGGTTGGTCTCTGCGACTGAGGGCAGAGCGAGGTTGCCAGCGACACAAAATGCAATAGATGGTCGCTGCCAGCGCCGCCACTGTGTTGGATTACAGTTCCCCCGACTTCTTGTCAGCCCACTGAGCTTACCATCAGCCCCACGATAAACACAAAAGCTGTCTCCAACGAGGCAGGCATGCATGCACAGCTTAAATTTACCGCTTGGACTAGAAAGGGAATTGATCGGCGTACCTAAGCATACCTCCAAGTATGTAGCGCAAAGTGTTCACCTTTGTCGATCGCAATCTCAGCTGGTTGGCTTTGGCGGGAACGGCGGCCCTACTCAGTATCGCTTCGTCTCTCAAACAGCTCGTTGCGAGACTTGCAGCAATGTCATATTCATCTGGTGTTATCATAACTTTCTCTCGTGAAGCACCGCTGAAGAAATCGATGTGATTGCTGACGTGGCGGTGAAATGAACGGTAGCACAAGCATTGAAACCACAATGCTGTGTGAGCGCTCAGCACTCTCCGCCACTTTCGACAGATCTGTGGAAGCGGCTCGGCATTTGCTTCGTCGGCTCCAGATCCGCAAGGGGCACGTGAAGAGATCGTTCGATTTCGCAAGGGACACAGGAACCCGCTTGCCGAGTACTTCAGATTCGCAAAGGAAAGAAGCTATAAGTGCAACAATGCCTTAAAAATTTTTGCGCTGAAGGGCGGCACGGCACTCAAATATGCGCAATTTATTCATGACAATTTATGTCATGGGAACATCAGTCTTACAGACATCTCTTCGTGCATTTCATATCTGTATCAAAGGAGAGCAAGGCAATACATTTTTGATAAATATTTCTACGCCAGTAGCTTTTATTCTATAAAGTGTAAATTGGTTTAGCCTTCCTTGGTATGTAACTGTAACATAGAACATAAAGCCAGGAACTAAGTAATAATTAATTGTATTTAATTTCCCAATGGTCTACCGGCTATCCGCCCGTGTGATGTGCGCCGAATTCAAGAAAAAGGTGAGGACAATATCTATTTAACAGTGGGTCCCTTTTCTCAAAGTAAAAAAAAAAGTAAATTGCTTTGCTTTTTTTTTTTAATGCCCCGACCATGAAATGCATGAGTAGACAATAAAATTAAACTTTGGTGGTACCATAATAAACTTAATTTTAACAACATGAATCGCTTACTTGCTATTTTATAGCTTTTTATTCTGCAACTGTCAATTCTGATATGCCTGCAGGAAGAAACCATCCCGGTGACGCCATACATCACCTACGTTGGAGGAGATTTGGAGGCGGCAGAGCTGATGAGCCTCCACGTGGATCAGCTAAGGCTGTTCGATGCAGCGGATGCTGAGGAGGGCATAGTGTCCGTCATGGCAGCTTACTGGCTATTTGGAATAGAATATAACAATTTCTACAACACGGCCTGTTTTCTTGAAAGACTCGGCCTCAAGATGGCCTACTCGCCACTGCGAGCAGTGGCAATTAAGCTGCTGAATAAAATAGCGTAAATTAGAACCTTTATAGAAAAATAAAAAGTGGACCAGACTCATTTGCTGTCGTTTTTCCGTGCATGCGCCTTTTTTCCTAGCATTTCTGGCAATGGTAACCCTCTAAAGAGGGTGTACCACCGCAGTCACAACACCCTTATAAAAAGGTGTACTGTGGAATCAACCTTTTATTAAGGGTGTTAGGGAAACCCTCTTTTAGGGTTGTTAGGATAACGCCCTTTTTTAGGGCGCTTTGCTACACCAAGATGGGTGTTAGTTATAGGACAAGCCATTTACACCTACAAGGGTGTTATGATGTTTAGTGGGTGGTCCAGACCGAAATAATGACGCCGCGATCGAGGGCTTAGATTACCCGCTCAGTAAGAGGGAGCTACGAAGTGTCCTAGGACTGTGCGACTACTTCTTAGAGTACATAAAAGACTACGCTGCTATCGCCGAGCTCTTTACGGTCCTTATCAAAAAGGGCGTACCGAAAGAAATACCTAGGCCGAAGGGGGCGGAGAGCGCGTTCCCGCAGCTGAAGACAGCACTCTGTGAGGTGGCGAGCCTTTCGACCCCGAACTTGTAGGAGCCTTGCTGGCTTTTGACAGACGCGTCATCAGTTACAGCAGGGGCATGCCTGGACCAGATCAGAAGTGACGGAGCTGAGACCCGATCGCGTTCGCCAGCCTTAAGTTCACTCCGACTTAAACACGCTGGTGCACCATTGAGCTTGAGGCGTTCGCTATCATTTGGGCGCTTGGCAAATTTAATAACTAGCTCTTCGGCGCAAAAGTGCACGTCGTGTCGAACCACAACCATTTGTTCTACCTGGCGTCCATCTTTGTCCTTCATGGGGCAAAGCTGTCAAGGTGGCCTCTAGCGCTACAGCGCTATTATGTGATCGTGACCCACGGAAAAGGGTCCGCTAACGGTAACGCAGACGCTTTGTCTCTCTTGCCAAACAAAGTTTGGGATACCACTGACTCAGCGCTGCGCCCACCTAGGAGTATGGGTGGTTCCACTTGCCGCGCGGCCTGAGTCAGACATCTCAGGAGCGTGGCCTTGCTGCTGTGTCCGTGCGTGAAGAAGAGACTTTGTCAAACCTCGTGACCCATTTGACTTGAGATTTTCCGGTGCACGGGCCTAGAGACAGTTGTTTCGCAAAGTATTTTTTTTTATTGCTTCGAAGCGCGGATATTGCAGCAAGCATGTTCGGCTCGGCGTTTTTTGTTTTTGTTTTTTCGTATACGTAAATGTGTGCATTGTGATATGTGCGCGTATTTTCCTTTATAGTAACGTATTGTCATTCAATATGCGGACATTGCAAAGCGCGTGTCTCATGGCATTTAGTTTTTATATTTTGCTTTCTGTAACGTTGAAGTGCTCGGTTATGTGTATACGTTTTCATCTTCGATGTTATGCACTTATGTTTACGAAGATAACCTTCTTATTAACAACGCTACTTGCTTCTTTCGGACCGTACGTAGAAATATGAATGATGTCTTCGATCCTCTTTTTGTGTGTTTGACTCTTAGCAGTTCTTTCAGTCCAGCAAGAGTCTTAAGGAGGGAGGTGTGACGATTTACGAGGGCTCCGCGGCTGGGTCGTTAGCACCAGAGGGACTTGGCTTCTAGGAAGGCGCTTTCGTAAGCACATCCCGCGATGGGCGACCTCGAGAGACAGGCGTACTTTATGACGCGAGGTTCGGAACGCGCGTTTTCTGCCGAGAGAATCGGAGCATGCGTTCCGGGCCGGGAGAACGCGGTTGTTCTTGCCGGCCAAGGAGGATAGAGGGCTAGGAGAGGTCATGACGCCAGCCGCGTAGCCTCCATAGGCCATGCTCCCTTGTCGCCGCGCCTCTTTCTCATTTTTCTCCTTACTCTCGTCAAACGTGACCACATCACGTGACCGTAGCTAGCCTTCGTCTAGCTATTGTGTACTAGAACACACCACAGTCTAGCCTTCGATCTGATAAAACCTACCGGACGGAGCGCGCGCAAGCCTGCAAGGAATCCTTCTACAATCAACCATCCATCTCACACGTGACATGTCACGCGCACCAATTGCCAGAGAGATCTACGGTCACGTTGGCCACAACATCGTTTACATTTTTTTATGACTAGGCTTCACCAATAGTGCAACGTGCCCTCTCCTAGTACTTCTAACCTCCTTGTTGCCGGCACCGTTTACATCGGTGAAGTCCTTCCCTTTCTCGCCCGTTTGGGGGGGGGGGGGGGGGGGGGTAAGAAATTGCATACCACCCCAATTCGCAAAATTTCTTACTCGCGAAATATTCCCGAAAACCACACCTTGCCGAATTCGCGAAATATTGAGCCCATAAAATGAAGTCGATTAGGGTTGATAATTGGGCTAGTTTGTGATCCATGACAGCAAATTCACGTAAAAGACGAAGACTGCGCCGTGTCCCTTTCTTGTCATTGTCTTTTGCGTGGATCTAAAAGAGAAGTTGTTTAGAGCGTGCCGTGACACAGAATTGTATCGGCTATGAGATGTGAAAACTGCACGTCTTATAGCCCGGAGCGCGGGCTAGCTCGCACTTGTAGCTTTGGCTGCAGTGGAGTATAAGCGAAACGTTATGGCAGTTGTTTTTCAAGCATTCAGCGATGTAGGCGACGGACGCCCTAGATCGGATATTATTTCCAGTTGGGAGAAAAGCCCATAATAGCTACCAACTGATATCCACAAAGCTCCGTACAGCAATGTTCCTGCGACGTTGCGCACCAGATGCATGTGCTCACCAGACTCTTCATCGTACATGAAGTTGTATGAACAAACATGCAGCCTCGAATTACTTACTTGCCAGAAGCAGCACCTGCGAAGAGTATGATCCCGTATTTTCGGAGTTCTCTAGGTCCTCCCAGTACGCCGTGTAAACACAATCCTGTCAAAGTCATTTTCGTCTACCGTGTGAGCAGCGTGCCTGCCCACAGCGCCAAACGTGCCTCATATGGCCTCAGAGACACAAAAAGACAAAGAAGTAGAAGAACGCCAGCCAGTCATGACAAGCCATCAGCCTTCACTCAGCCATCCCTCTATTATTTCCTTTATTTTCGTTCATTAAACATTTTTCTTATTCCCGAAGTCTCACATATGGCGCAGTCGGCGTCCTCAACCTGCCTTCGCCACCTATTCGCCACGTAAGCCTGCCTGCCCGCTTTCATCAGCGCAGCCGAACGCCTAGCCATTTTTAAGCCTACCAGCCTCCACTTTGGCCATCGCCCGCCCAGAACAACGATGTCGCTTATCAATTGGGATAACGCTACAGCCGAGGATCTCGCGACCCCGAGCGTTCAGTTCCTAAAAAAAAACTTCAACGCCGAAACATTAGCACAATCGGAAACAAGGAAGAGCTTATTGACAAACCTTTGACTGATGCCACCCAAAACCCGCCAATTGCTCTAGCTCTTGCAACGCTATTCCCGACTATGCCAGCGTTTACCACAGACGAAGCTGAGAACATGCAGCGCATGGCCGCATTCCTTCACCAAAATATGGCCGTAAATGATGACGACGCTAGCCAATCAAGCGAACCAAGTGCACGTGACAACTCTGCCAGATGTATCAGCTTCGCTGCCCATTTTCAACGGAGGCGGCACTCCTACGTTCAAACACTGGACTGAAGAGCTTGAACGCACTCAGCGCCTTGCAAGAGGGGAAGACCCCACTCTTTTAGCCATCGCTCAAGGGAAGCTACGTGGTGTCGCAGCTGACTGGCTTGCGTCAACAGGGCGACAACTTTCCACCTGGACCATTTGGAAAGCTGGACTGAAAGAACAATTCGGCGAGCAACTTTCGCTCGTTCAGTGGCAACAGAAGGCAACAGCCCTCACCCAGAACTGGCGATAGCCTACAGCAATATGCCTTCGCCAAGCTCAAGATCATGTCGCGATGTCCAGTCTCCATCACCGACAAGGAACGTATTGAATACCTTGTTCAAGGCCTTCGTGATGATCAGATCGCCACATCCATTGCTGTCTACCGACCCCGAACAGTGGACGACTTCGTCAACATCGAGTCCAAAGTGGACCGAACGATAGACCATTCCCGTCTGGCCCGCACGCCCACATTCCCAAAGCCAGCCCGGCATGGACGTTTCTCAGCGAGCGGCTCAACCACACACTTCAATTGTACGCCCGGTATATCACAAACTGGCCGCACGCGCATCGCAGATATGCCTCCCGACGAACAGGAAGCCAGGTACAATAGACTTTCCACAAAATATAGTTCCCAGCATACCGACCGGGACAAGACATCAAAGAAGCCATCTGCTACAATTGCAAAAAGCCTGGCCATCTCGCAAGCAAGTGCAACAAGCGGAAACAGCCTCCAAATCACTCCAAGCCGAAAACACCACATGAACCTACAGCTCTAGTTAGCCAGCTAGACGTCTTGCATGGTTCTAAGCTCAAGTGCCCACTCGTTTCAGCTCACATAACTGGAGTTGGCACAGTCAGCGCCTTTCCTGACAGTGGTTCCAGCATAACAGTAATCACTGCAAGCCTTGCCAACGAACTCGCTTTACTGCCATGGACGAAACCACCATTGCTCGTCGTTGGCGGCGCTTCCGTCACTCCAAAAGGTGTGGTCCCACTCCTGATTGCAATTGGACCAATGTCAGCCACAGTCGAAGCAGCAGTCCTCCAAAGAAACGCCTTACCTCTCATATTGGGAGAAGACTGGTTTCGCATCGCACAAACCGAGCTCACATTAGGCCTCCAGAGTTGCCTAACATTTGCCAACCCAACAAAAACACGGTTGTACAATGTAGAGAAGAACTTTTACCAAGGATGTCCAACGCCGTGATCCTCACATGGTCGGGTATCTCACAGTTTGATCCTCCGCATTCTACGGGCGAGCCTCTGCATGAGCCCGACGAGGATGCACCACTATGGAGTGAGCTGAACAACGCAGCCTGTTGTCAAGAGCCCTCAACCTCTGCTCCGCAACAACTAGCGGCAACCGCATCACCAAATCAAAGTCTCACATATGGCCCACAATCATGTGCATCCGTATCAAGTGAAACTGCTCTTGATG